CATGACATCTCTGAGTGCATATATAACAACTCTGTTCTCACTGCCCTCAGACAAGTCCATCTGTGAGCGTGGCACAATTTCACATTCTGGTACTAATACAAATTTAGGTGTTTTTCAAGTTCTTAGCTATTATAAGTAATACTACTAGAATCACTACATAATTTCTTTGATGCACAAGGTCACACGTTTCTGACGTTACTAAACTATAGGACATACACATATCAATTTAGTAGACATTTGCCAAAATGTTGTTCTAAATGGTTGCAGCAATTGACATTCTCACCAATGATCTTTGATCATTCTATGTGTTTCAGACCTTCACCAGCACTTGTTACTGCTGATCTTACTCCATTTTGTTATCTTTGCCAGTGTATAATAGCACGCAATTTTCACATTGATTTTTACTTCTTGATTACTAGTAAGTTTGAATAATTTTTTCCACAATTCGGTTGCACATAATAGAGACCCATACGTTTTAAAATCTATAAATGTAATGCTTTTGAATGATGAAACATTCACCCGAATTGTTTTAAGTGTACTAATATCCTAACTATAGAAGTATGATAAAGGACAGCATAAAATCTTCTTGTACTTACATATATGGAACACAGTGCTCTAATAAATTTACAGATTAGTAAGTTATTTCTTATGGAATCTTTCTGAAATAAATATTATAATTTGTCTCAGTTCTACAAAAGAAAAAAATCGAAGTCAAAATTGGTAACACAACTTGCCCCCAGCCACATAACAGAGAAGTGACTTAGTTAGCATCCTCGAGCTGTGAGGCTTCTCTAGCTTTTATTAAAATATCAGAAAATGAAGTTCAATCCCCAGTACCAAAAAAAATCAAGAAATATAATAGATAACAAATTTCCATGAATATGGACATGTTTAGAATAATATGGATAAAGCTAGTTTAATAATTTTGGAAATGAATCTTGAAGATTTATACTAGAGTTAACATTCCTTAAATATAAAATTAATCTTTTCTATATTTGTGAAACAAAACACAGCCCAAATGGACTTTAATGAGAGATTATGAGATAAGCAAGTATAAGAATTTGTAACTGTAAGGCTGTAGTTCTTCCTACATTAGTAAAGTGAAAGTATTGCACCTTTGAAATGTGTTAAAATAAAGAAAATGTTAATGATCTTGAGCTGTACATATTTTGTGCTATAAACAACATCTCTGGTTGCTAAATGCAAACTTTGTTTTGCAAAGTGTACAATGTGGGTGAGTTAATGTTGCCAGGGAATTTTTAGTGTCTAAATTACCTTGCTTTCCTGTATTTAAATTTGCAAACTCAACATTATGTCAGTGTACCTTCTGGCATGTAATTAGGTTCCATCTCATGTTTTTAAATTTAATTGTTCTTTAATGTGAAACATTTTGTTATTTTCCATGCCATTCTTTGTTCCTAGTAGTTACAATACTAATACACTGTAATAGGACATTTGCTTTTCCTGGTAGGATTGGCAAAATATTCTTAGAACTTCTTTAAGCATTTTTATGAATGCATTTTTATTTTTCTAGGTAGGAGACCTTTGTTTTTATGTTTTACAGAACATAGAGTTGTAGTAACCACCCTCCAGCACATGGAAGATGTAGATGCCAGACTGTATCCATCCTAAACTTGTGATATCCTTAAATTAATATGATAAATATCTCTCCCCACATGACAGGCATGTACCTGGTCCCATGACTGATTCATCAAATAAATATGTGGACCCCCAGTTCAGTTTGATTTTAAATAAGTGATATTTTAATTCTATAAATTTAAAGTAGTACATAGAATATACTTATTTTAGTGTTTTTGTTTTAAGATTCAAATATGACTGGATATTCCTTGAGTATTTTGTCTGGTACTCTCTAAATGAGACAATGAGAGGTAGGTGTGTTCATTCACACCTGGAATCCTAGCATGCTGTGAGGCTAACTTAGGACAATTGTAAGTCTGAGTGCAGTCTGGGCAATTTAATGAGCAGGGAGGCCTTGTCTCAAAATAAAGTATAAAAAGGGTTCGGAATGTGCTAAAGTCCAGAGTTCAGTCCAGTGAAAGAAACAGGGGAGGGGAGGAAGGAAGAGGGGAAGAAAAGAACAGAAAGGACATGAAGTCAACTACTGCTACAACTCTTGTGAAATATTTCTGTATTATATACAAACAATAAATAAATGCCACCATTTAAGATCAGCAATGCCTACCAGACACAGACCAAAAAAAATTTTAAAGAAACTTCTTTACTGATAACTAGAGCTAAGTATGATTTAAAGTAAAAAATCTGAGCAATCAAAAGATAATAAAGCCTTGGATTTGGGAACACATAGAAACATATAAGCTCTGTGAAACACTCTGGCATGTTTCTAAAATACTAAACTATTGCACAAAACTAGTAGAAAAAAAGAAAATATTTTTCTATGATAGAGATAACTCTGTACAGTAAATATTATCGCATACACATTTCCCAAAGCATTCTCTACAGAACATGAATGTTCAAGAAGATATTAAAAGAGATATCTTACAAAAGCAAAGAAAAAAATAAAGTGTGACCTTCCATTTACCTTTTCCCTACTTAAGCATAATCAGTTGGAGCCTGGCATTGTGGTGGTGTGTAGAACATACATTAGTTCAAGTTCTGGCGTAGGTAGAGTTAGACAGCAGGGAAGTAGTTTAGCCTCTATGTGCCTGTGGCTTTTCATCTGTCAAGTGGTAGTAATTATAGAAGCTACTCATAAACTAAAACGTTAAGTCTTTCAGAAAAAAGCATGGAAGACCTTGGGGTTGGCAAATACATCTCAGACGTGACCCAGAAAAACTAACTAGGAAGAAAAAACATTGAACTTCATTGGAATTTTAAAAGCCTGTTCTTTGGGAGTTGCATTTAAGGAAATGAATGTGCAAGGCACAGACTGTAAGAAAATATTTGCAATACTTACATAGAACTAAAGACTTTCATCCTGAATACATCAAGAATTTCATTACCATAATAATAAAAAGTAAACAATTAGAGCAGAATAAAAATAATAAAGATACAAAAAATTAAAAGATATACAAATGGCAATTAAATAAAAAATGACTCAAAACTGTTATTCATCATGAAACAGAAAACAAAAAACATAATGAAATACTATTGTATAAATTCTAAAATTATGAAAATTGAAGAAGATTTAAAATATTGTCATCCCTGATATGAAGCAAATTTTAAAATGTAGGTCATATATATTATCCAGAAAATGTAGTTCTATAAATTTGAGAAAACCATTTTACTATGACGAAAAATGAAAATATGGGTTCTAGCATTTAGGGCAGCTTTAACAATACAATCTCTAATTTGAGAATAACCCAAATATCCATCAACAGAAGAATTGGTTGAAATATATTCATTTAAAGCAATACTACTAAACAAAATAAAATAACAAACTTCTGGTAGAGCAAATAACCTGAATAACTCTTAGTAATACATTTATGCAAAGCAAAAATTTACATGAAGTTCTAGATTACCCAGGAAATAAATTATGGTGAAGGAAAACAATGGCCATTGTCTGTTTGTAGGGCAAATGTTCAAAAATGACTGGAAATAGCATAAAAATGCTTTCTAGCTGAAAGAAAATATTCTACATTATGAGAAACGAAATGTGTACATTTTACATGCAACTTGTTATAAACTAAATTGTGTTCCAAAAAACTCATACATTGAAACTATAAACAGAGCCAGAATTTAACTTAGTAGCATAAGTATCTACCTGGTAAGCATGAGGTTGTGAGTTTGATCCCCAGTAGCAAAAATTTTTAAAAAGGGAAAGAAAGAATGAGAGAAAGAAAAAGAAATAAAGAAAGAAAGAAAGAAAGAAAGAAAGAAAGAAAGAAAGAAAGAAAGAACAAAAACTATAAATCCCAATCTAATGTATTTGGAGAATAGAATTTAAAATGTAATTAAGTACAAATGCCAAGATTGTGACCGTAATCCTCTAGGACTGGCATCCCTATAAGAGAAGGAGAAAGCAGCGGAGACATGCCGTGCGCTGTCAGAAAAAGAGTGTGAGGACGCAGTGAGACAGACTTCCTGCAAGCCAAGGAGAGACTTTTCAATACCTTCATCTTTGACTTCTGGACCCCAGAACCATTATAAAATAAATTTCTGTTATTTGTCACCCAGTATGTGATGTTACTCTATGCCATGCTAGTGTTATTAATCCGAGACCCATGCCTATCAACATGCACTTAATAAAGTCAAAATGGATCAAAGATCTAAATACTAAGACAAAAACACTAAAATTACTGGAAGACAAAGTAAGTGGAAACCTTGAGAAAATAGGGTTAGGCTGAGAGTTCATGAACGAAAACCAAACTGCAGAGGAAGGACTTCAAAGAATCAACAACTGGGATCCGGTTGTATTAAAAAGTTTTTGCACATTGAAAGAAATCACCAACAGGTGGGAAAAAAACCCGGCAGATTGGGAAAATATTTTGCTAACTGTCCCTTAGACAATGAACTTTTATCTAGAACATATAAAGAATTGAAAAAATCAGACCTCTCAAATTTAAAGACCCATTCGAAAAATGGGCATCTGAGAAGATTACACAATTCTCAGATAAAGAAATACAAATGGCAAATAGATACATGAAAATGTTCAACATCATTTGAGAAATGCAAGTTAATACTACACTGAGATTCCATCTCACTTCAAAAAACTTGGCTAACATCAAGAAATTAACCAATAACAATTGATGGTGGGAACTGTGGGGAAAAAGAACCCTTCTCCACTGTTGGCATTGTTGGTGGGAGTGTATACAGGTACAACTACTGTGGAAATCAGTATGGAGAATCCTCAAAAATCTAGGATTAGAGGTTTCATTTGACCCAGCTATTCACCTTCTGGGTAATTTCCCAAAATAATTGAAAACATCATTCCATTGTGATATATGTGCACCCATTTTTAAAGCAGCACAATTTGTAATAGCTAAATCTTGGCAATAACCCATATGCCCATCAACACAAGAAACGATAAAAAAGATGTTTATTTTTATATAATGGAATACTACTCAGTCACAAAAAAACAATAAACTCAAGGCTATAGGTAAATGGGTGCAATTAGAAACCATACTCACTAGTGAAATGAATCAAATTTGCAACTATAAAAACTGAAAGAGTAAATAAGATTCAAAAGTTACAATAGAAACAGTAAAAGGAAAAGAAACTGCTCAAAGGGAAATTATGTTGTTTGATCAATCTTGCATGCCTATATCTGGTAGCCTGAGCAATTACTTTGAGGATAACGATATGCAGTCTAACAACCATTGTTAAATTCCTTTCATCTTGTTTTAAAATCCTATATTGCTACTATTTTGTGTTGTTTTTGTTGTTATTTTTAATTAATGCATCAAATATTTGGGGATTTCATCAGTAGGAGAAATTCCGTAAAACATAATATACTTAAAAAGATTTTAAGTCAGTTCAGTAAAAAACTTTTCAGAGGCTTATCTGTTCCTCTTCATTATTGTCAAATTTCTCAGTGTTTTAAAATGGATGAAATAGAGAATAACCTTACTAAATATGAACGCACTTAGTAAGATTTTTTGTGAAAATGACTGCATACATAGGAACAAAGAATAAAATGACTAGTAAGCATGAAACAGGAAAATTTTAAATCCTTATGGAATAAAGGTGACAAAATATTTCACATGTAAATTAGTTAAAATAAGCCTCTATATGGTGCTTGATATGTCCTTTGCTTATTTTTAAACCCTTACTCTTTTCTCACAATAATTTCACAAGATGGATACTATTACTATCTCTATTTTACCAATGAGAAAATTGGAGCATAGTAGGTACAAAATATTGCCCTAGTTTACACAGCTATGAGTGGAAGAAATCAGATGTGAACCTTGGCAACCTGTCCCACCATCTAAAGTCTTAGTGATTACTCTCAGTTTTCTAACTGGGCTCATTTTTATTTGGTTGTTAAACCACACATAGTAAAGACTCTACCACACTGAAGTATGGTGGTACAGGATGGTAATCCAAGAACTATGGTATCCTAAGGTTAGGAGGGTAACAAGTTCAAGTTCAGGCTGGGCAACTGGCAATTTAGTGAAACTGTATCTCAAAATTTAAAAATAATAATAAAAGGGCTAAGAATGTAGCTCAATGTGAAGGTCCTGCTTTCAATTCAACCCCCACACCACAAAAATAGACAGCTGTCATTACTGATTAGTTGACTCAGAAGACAGTTTATGCAATACAGTACTTAACCATGTTTTAAGTACCTTAAGTATCATTTGTTTAACTCGCTTTGCAATTATGTGATTATAAAACTATTTCAATAATTTCACTCAGTTTAGACAACCTTTCCAGGATGACTGTCCATAGCCCTCAATAAGAAAGTGTATGTACAGTGAAATTGTTTTTATTCTTCTCTTCACCAACATATTAATGCAATGATTCTCAAAATGTGCTGCATTCTACACCACCTGAGAAACTTCCTAAATTCCAGTGTCCAGGCTATGCAGCATACCAATTAAAATCTTTGGGATGAGATCTAGGCATCAATAGTTTTATAGCTTCCAAGAGAATCAAAGTACAGTGAATTTTTTGGAGGGGTGACGTACCAGGGATCGAACTCATGACCTTGCATTTGCCAGGCAGGTGATTGTGCCACTGAGTCAATCCCTGACCCTGTACAGTGAATTTTGAGAACCTCTGTGTTAATATATTTTGAATTAGCATGTTGTCTGAAATACTCTCAAGTGGCAGTTACAAAATGAATATTAATGAGAAATATAGGTGCTTTCTGAATTGGTAAGATCCCCTAGCATTGAGGTTAAGCAAAAGGTGATTTAGATCTTAATCCACCACTTCAAAGCTATGCAAGATTTTGCCAATTCTCCTTTCATGAATGACAATTTCCTTATCTGTAGAGTTGGTATGGTAATTATCACTTCTCTGAATCTATGTAAAACTGAAATAGAAAATCTAAAGTGCGTTCAAACTATTCTGCCTTTCCTCAGGCCTATGATTATAGAAGAAGCTACCATTAATTACTGTGATCAAGAGCCCATGTGCTTGAACCCATCATAAAATATCTTTTCTGCCTCTTTCTAAGTTCTTGAATACCCTATCATGCATGCCCCATAAGAGTTCACGGTGCGGTTCCCTTGCCCCACTTCCCCTTTCCCCCGTAGTTGTCCCTGCTCCCAGTTAGTGATACTGTACCCTCACTCACTTGGAAACTGATTTCTCCTGCTAGCAATCACTACTATCACCCTCAGTTGGTCTTCAGATCAAACATGAGCTTCCTTCCCAATTCTTAACAGCACTACAGAGAACAGGCTATAATGTTCAAAAAGAGCATATAGAATTCTATAATGACAAACTAGCTTACATCTGCCAATAGATGTCATTGAGTTCAGAGTTCACAGCCCTGCCCTGGACTCTGGTTTCCTTATCAGAAGAGCTCTCTGTATAGCTCTCCATTAACTTCCAGCACAAGGGCCAGCTTATTCTTTATAATTACAGTGGACTGTACAATGCAGAGACGTGGTGTTTTACCTCCAAGAAATCACACTTTTGTCAAGGGTCCTCAATACCTGCATCCTGAATCCTATCCAACTCCTTGTGCCATTCTTTCCACAGCTGTAACGCATCAGTCTTGCCTGTGAGCCACTCCTGGGCTCCAGCAAACAATACTCGGTGATTTGTAATCACTGATCATTCACTGTCTTCATCTCAGGGTAATCTTCATTTCTCTTAAACTTCAGCCACAAACATATTTTAATTCACTTAGAGTAAATCACAATTTACTTCCACCAGTGGCATCTGTATAGGATAGAAATAGAAAGGCAGAGAGTTAAAAAAGTTTCCAAGGAGTGTATGACTGATCTTGTTCTTGTTTCTGTGCTTGTGAAAATAAAGTTGATACTTACATCTTCATTTTCCTACTATCCATTTTGTGTCTTCATTGTGAATAGTGGACAATTTGACTGTTTAGAGTTCATATTTTTGAGGGGTAACTCAAACCTTTATTTAGAACTTTGAGCTTTACATGAATTACTTCATTCTATCTAAATTAATTTGAACAAATGTTTCAAAATTTTACAAACTAATCATGACAGTGTTAGAAAACACCCCAAAGGGTTTTTTGGTTACCAGAAAGACTTCTTTACTTCTTATTTAGCGGGAACATTTTCACCCTTGATAGACAAGATCAGTCACCATAGGAAACACGGTAGTCTCTAGTTTTGCCTAGTGGTGACACAATAAAAGGACCCCAAAATTATCAAATGACAATCTCAACTTCCAACTCAAGTAAACCAGTGTTGTATCACTAGTGCAAGCATTCCTTTCTGTGTATTAAGTTCTTTTCTTATCTAGAAGAACCTTAAATCATGAAGACAGGAATTTAAAATTTGCCAGTAGGTTATTAGAGTTATAGAAATGGTAAACACTTTTATAACATTACTATGCCTTAGGTGCTCTCCCAAGTTGTTAATATATATTAACCCACTTAATCCTCGGTACTTGTTATGGTTTATATCTAGATGTACTTCCAAGCCTCATTCATTCATAAGAGAGGATTTGGGATTTGATTGGATCATCCAGGTGCTATGCTCATCAGTAGATTATTCCATTAATAACTCATTAGTGTATACTGCATAGCTAAATGTGCAGTTAACAAGTGGCATCTGATCAGCAGAGGTGGCTTACTGTGGCAGTGGCCAGGAAGGGTATATTGCCCTCTCTGGCTCTTCCCTTTCAACTCTCCTTCCTGGCTGCTAAGATTGGAGTAGCTTTTCCTCCACCATATCGCATACCCCTCTGCCATATAGTCCTGCCACAGAGCCAGCTAACCAAGGACTGAAACCTCTACAAACTGTGAACCAAATTTTAAATGTCTCTTCATTTAATTTGTGGGTATTAAGTATTTTATTCCAGAGATAAAGAAAGTGACTAGGGAAGTAGTATTGCTATCCCCTTTATACATTAAGAAACTACAAAGATGGGGTACAGAGATGTTAGATAACTCACAGAGTCATACAATAAATTGTTACTTGACCTAGGATTCAAACTTTGTCAACACTGTAATACATTCCATGGCAGGGGATAAAATTAACTACTATCCTATAGTAAGTCTCAGTAACAGTAAGAACCACTAATTCTGCTTTTACTCTTTGGCTTTCTGTCTCATTCATTCTTACCATGAAAGAAAAGATGGAGTACATCTGCTTACAATTCATAGTGTATTCTATATAATAGCACACAAGATTGACAAGATGCTGTTTCCCACATCATACCATGACTATCTTTAATAGGATTTTTCACATTCTCCCAAGAAAGCCATTTATGGGTAATAGGCTGGTTTGATATGTGGCTAATACTGATACAGTCAACTACATTTTTCTATCCTTTACTCCTCCCTCTTAAACATCTCCATCATTTTTAAAATTAAGTTTATTTTGCATTTATAAATGAAAATATAAATATTAAAATATTTGGATAGTACAATGTGATTTTGACACATTTTGCCTAATATTTAAATCAAATTAAGACTATATATCTCATAAAATATTTATTTTTCATAAAAATAATCAAAATTCATTTTTCTAGTTTTTTGAAATACATGGTGCATTATTGTCACCTATAGTCCCACCCTGTGCAATAGCACACCAGCATTTCTTACTCATATCTGACTGTAATTTAAAACTGTTGCCACTTTGAGTAGTTCCTTCATCCAGAGCTATGGAATGGATTGTAATTTTTTTCGACATGTAATATCATCGCCACTCCAAATATCAAGATTATATCCAATTCAAACTCAAAGCTTAACTTTCATATAAGACACCCAAAAAGACAGCATTCCACTGACATTGTAACTCAACAAATGCAGAGTAAGCTTCTACCTCTAGTTTTCAAATATATCACCTTGATACTACAACACACAAAAAGCCTCTTTCAGGGTTGACATAGAAATCTGTATTTGTATGAGATCTGCTTTGATAGTTTGAAAGCTGTATCATCTTTTGCTAATATATTTTCCAGAGTAGTCATTCAGAGAAAACTATAGATATGGCTTTTCTTAAGCCTCTGTTTCTCAAGGCATCAGCCATTCACTGTAGAAGATTTATTTTCAGTACACATTTCATTACAGATAGCCACAGGTAATAATTTTAGCAAATGTTTTGTCCTGGGTCTCCCAATTCGTAATGGTAAATAAAACTTTATTGCCTTTAGATTTAGCCAAGTCAAACACTTTCTCTCAGAATTTCATTTCACTTAAAATTTGTTCCTCACATCACTTCTGACACTAATTAGGACCAGTAAGGGTCTGCTGTTGAGACAATAGAATCCATTCTAGCTAATGGAAACTCAAAAGGATGTGTTCCTGTTATGTACGTTATATGAAAATAATCATTACCTTCTTGGAATAATTCCTAAACTCAAAGTGTTGAACTCTTCTCAATGATCAGAAAGCTACCAACCCAGGAAGCTTTCATCAAATCTATCATTCTGGATACATGTCACCCCTGCCTGAAGTAAGAAGACTGTGCTATAAAATGTACCCAGTCAAGTCAGTGATTCACAACCCATGTCTCTCTGTTCCCTAATCATGCTAACTTGAATGTATCATCCACACTTTGTATGCTTTAAAATGCGTACTTCCTCTCTGACCTTTCTTTCCATCAAATTCAGCTGCAAGTCAAACTCTGCCAAACAATACAGAGACTTCTGTAAATACTTCTAATACTGAATTTACTGAGACACCGTGAGTTTAATAAAAGTTTTCTGTGGCTTCTACAATTACAAGAGTTACCTGAAGTGATGGCCCTTAGCTTCCAGACATTTATTAGCACAGTAAAGTGCCGAAGTGTGTATATACGTTTTGGGGGACTCTGAATATACATTTGAGGAAAAGTAAACTAAACTTGCAACTCTAGGTGTAGGGAAGCCTGGAAAATGTGGGCGCTTAGCTCACTAGTCTTCACACTACTCAAAACATGCATCAGTAATGTTATGGGTTATAAACCAACCATAAGTAAGCCATCCCAAATCCTTTGCCTTCTTGGTTCACCTATAAAGTTTGATTATTTGTGAGCTTTTAGGAAGTAATACTTTCAAGTCATGTTTTCATTTTAAAAAGATCATTCTAAAGTTTATTTGGAGACAGACTGTCATGCTAGACAATTCACATACTTACTGAATATTCTAATGATCACCCAAAAGTGACAATAATAATCTCAGTAAAGATCATGTCATGAAGATCTTAAGACTGGCTACAAAAAATGGTAACTAAATTCACAGAATTTCTTAACCTAGCACATTTTGAAGGAAATAATGCACTAACTGTGGAATAATCTTTCTAAAATGTAAATGCTACTGGCTAGAAAACTAAAATCAAACGTTTTGGATTAAAAATAAGGGATTGCAAGAAACTAGATTGCTTATTCTACTATTAAATCTATTTAATGTTAATTTTACTTATGTTAGAGTGTGCAAAGGTAAATGTTTAAAAAAATTTGAATTTTACAATGTAAATATAAATTACTATAAATCATAAACATATACAAAGACAATTTAAATTTATGCTTCCCATATTTTGAGACACATTATGACTGAAATGCCACTCAAGATACTTTAGTTATTTATGAAGTCTCTAAAGTTCTCTTTTATGATTATTTTGCATTAGTTTTTATATTTAAATATTATAACAGTCATTGCACTCAATGTAGTAGAAAAATGGTACTGAATTTTGAATATGCATATTTAAAATACACATTAGTTTTAATCTTAATGCATCTGTCTGTAGTAAGTAAAGGATCTCTGTAACAGTAAGACATTCATCTCGTACTTTTAAAGAAAGATAATGTATTCAAATTTATGACAGACTTCTAGATATGTCAAGTGAAGACAATTCAATAATATTGCAGATATCTTGGGGAATCATTCATCCGTCTACACTATCTTAATTTAATTTACCTTGTCTCTAACCATTTGATGCTTAAAAATTTAATCTATAGCCTTACAAGGATAAAAGGCATGGGAAAAACTTTATAAATGTACTCAATTTCATATTTCCTTAGTATTTACAAATATATTACTTTGATAATTATAATCCTGATTTTAATATTATAATCTATTTGTTATTCTCTATTGATACCCAAATCTCCTTGTTTCTAATTCTGTCTCATTTAGTTTTGTTTTCTATTACTATACCACGTTAAGTATCTCCGTCCTGTGTGTGAGAAAATCTACTGCATTTTTATACTTTTAATAAAATTTCACAGTTCTGTTTCCCTTATATTGAGTTCTAGTAGTTTATCGAATAAACAATTACTCATGGTCTGTGGAAGTTTTAATCCATAATCAGCTGGCTGTCAGACAGGATGACATGGCAGATGGGTATCACAGAGGAGAAAAAACAGTTTGAAGTATGGAAAGTGAAAGGCAGGTGGTAGAAAAAGCAGCAAGCAGCAGTCTGTGATAATAATCATCTTTCTCTGCCTTAACCTCTATCCAGGCTATATGCCCTTAGGATGAGTAGCATTGACATCCACAGTGGGCCTTCCAATTATCCACACCCAGAACTTTGCCAAAATTGTCAGTGGACTAATTTGCTAATCACGTACCCTTAATCGCAGCATCTTGTGTTTCATTCAAATATCACACACTCTTGGTCCAACCACCTCTGGAATGCTCCATCTATGATTACATGAGGATTTGGAGGGGACATCTAGACACAAAGCATAACATTGTGCTTAAATATCTTATAAAACACATCATTCCAGCTTATCTGTAATCTTTCCAGTAGGAAAAAAGATTCATTATGCCTTATGCTACTAGTTGAGAAGAAAGAAATACACATCAGTGAATTTCAAATAAATTTGTTTTCTGAAGTTCTAAATAATTCTAAACTCACTTTTTAATCTAGAAAGGCAGATAAAAAGATTTTTAATACAAGCATAAGTGAAAATAAAGTAAAATTCTGATGAAAGAACAAAGAAAATTTGAGTGAAAGATAAAATAAAAATGTAACTCTTTTATCTTTGCTTTGCTTAATCCTAAATTTTGCAACATTGTATTGACATTTTGGCAAATAAATATGGAAACTGAAGCATTTACAAAAATTATGCTTCCATAAAATAATTATTCTTGATGTTGAATCAAATGATGTTCTTCAGAAGGTCATTTTATAGGGCTTACTGAGTCATGCGTTGAGAACCTCTCAACTGTTTTCTCTGAGTAAATGAAACAGCTTTCAAAGAGCTCTTTTTGTTCTGATCCTCTTATAAGCAGAGTGGAGTACACTGAAGGCATGATGTTAAAAGGTGATTACAGCCTATTCAGGCTGGAAAAAAAAAAGAACTTGACTGGGGTAATTTGTAAACTGCAAAAAGTGGTTTCTCACAGTTTTCAAACCAGGAAGTTGAAGACCAAAGTGCCAGCAGAGTCTGATGGGGGCTGATGCTATGTTCCGTACACGTCAACTGTGGCCATGTCTCTAGCAAAGGGACAACGCAGAGCCTTCACCTCTCCTAAAGCGATCTGATTCCATGGTGAGGGTGGAGCTTTCTTTAAATGCTTTTTTCAATGATTTCTAGTTGTCACTGTACAAATCTATCACTTGTTTTGGTTAAATTTATTCTGAAACATTTAATTCACATTTAGATGCCATTGCAAATTGATTTCTTAATTTTTTTCAGAGTGGTATATGCATATCCATGTTAATAGCACAATTCATAATTGCTAAACCTCCCAGAAGCCTGTGTGTCCATCAGCAAATGAATGGATAAAGAAAGTGTGGTAATTGTATATAGTGGAGTACTAGCGCACCATAAGGAAACATAAGTGAGTTATTTATAGAAAAATGGGTGTCCATTGACATCATAATATTAAGTGAAATCAATCAGGCTTAAATATCACAGGTTTCTCTTATATGAGAAACCCAAAATATAAATAAAAAGCAAAGTAAATGATAGATGATAGGAAGTAGGAAGACATCTTTTGAAATAAGGAAGTTGATCAAGAGATGCACAGAGTGGAGAAGGAGAAGGGAAGGGAGAAGAGGATGAAGAAGAATTAAGATGTGTATGTGAATGAAGCAACTCCCCACAAGGAATGCAGTTACTATGTATTACAAACATGTACTAAAAAATTTTAAAATTTAAAAAAGAAAGTTAACATAATGTATTCTTTTGTATGCTGCAATACTACCAAACTCATTTATCAATTTTAAGAATTTTGGATGAATAATTTTGAGTTTTTTGCATATCATCTGCAGAGATGGATAATTTTACATCTTTCTTTCTGAAATAGATGTGCTGCTTATTTCCTTTATTGATTGGTTTTTATTCAGTCCTTGTCTTTCATTCATTCTTTCAAGTCATTCTCTCTTTCTTTTTTCCTTTCTTTGTTTTCTGTTATGATTGTTCTGGGCAAGCATTCCAAATCTGTGCTGAACAAAAGTTGTGAGGGGAACATCTTTACCTCGTTCCTGCTTTAGAGGAAATCTTCCAATTTTCCACCATTGTACATGATGCTAGCAGTGAGATATTGATTGGTCAGCCTTATTGAGGGAATTCTTTTGGTAGTCTGTGAAAGTCATAATAAAAGGATGTTGATTTGTCAAATCAGTATTTTTCAGTGTTTATTTATAATACTATGTGATTGTAGTCTTCATCCTATTAGTGTAAAATAACATACCAATTTATTTGTATTTATTGAATCACCCTTGCATCTCATGGATAAATCCCATTTGGTAAAGGATTATAGTCCTTTTAATGTGAAATTGAATTTGTTTTGTTTTTCAAGATTTTGCTGAGAAATTTTACATTTGTGTTTATGAGAAATATTAACTTTTACTGTTTTTGATAATATTGTCTTTCTTTGGGTTTAATATTGTGGTAATGCTGGTTTCTTAATGGACTTTAGCAGGTTTTTTTTTTTCCTTGTCAAAGATAGCTTGCCATTAAATTTTTAATGTTTATTAGAATTCATCAGTAAGCTATCTATCTGGTCCTGCGCTTTTCTTTGTTGGAAAGTTTTTTTTTTTTTCAGATACAATCTCCTACATTATTTTTGTTTTATTTGGATCATGTATTTCTTCATGATTCAGTCTTGGTTGGTAGTGGGTTTTCAGGATCTAGTCTATCCTTCCTAGAGAGGGAGTAGCTATGTTTATATGACAAAATATATTTTCAATCATAAACTCTCATAAGAGATAAGGAAAGACATTATACAGTAATAGAAGATTTGATTCATAAAGGAAATAAGACAGCTATGTATGCACTAACATTATAACACATAAATATAAAAGTCTACACTGATAGGACTGAAGAGAAAAATAACAATACAGTAATAGTAGAAGACTTAAGTACTCCATTTCCAATAATTGATAGGACATCTTGACAGAAAAATCCATAAGGAAACAGCAAATTTAACCAACACTGCAGCTCTAATGTACCTAACTCACATATATAAAATATTCTACTCAGCAGTATGGAATACATTCTTTTCAAGTACACAGAGTATTCTCCAGGAAAAATGCTATATTAGTTCATGAAACAAGTTTAGTCTTAACAAATTTATCACTGACATTATACCAACAGAAAAAAGCTATTAAAAAAACAATATAAGGAACTCTGGAAAACCCAAAAATAAATGGAAATTAAACTACACAATTTTAAACAACACTTCAAAAAAAGAAATGAAACAGAAATTAGAAAGTATCTTCAGACAAATGAAAACAAAAACATACAATAAAATTCACAGGGTACAGCAAATTTATAACTAGATCATTGTCCTACCTATACTTAAGTTACATACTAAGTGGTTTATAATGAAATAGTTTATCCATTTTGTGTCAAATTTTCTAAAAAATACTGCATTATTTCACTACATAGCAAAGTCATCTCAGGCAACAATAAAAAGCAAGCACATCTCCTTTTGGGTATATCAAAAGCAACTGTTCAGGTCATCAATGCCTCTTAATATAATTCATACTGAGTGCTATTTTCTAGTCTCTACTATCGGTTGAAGTAGGTAGGAGTTACATCAAGAAATATCTCAGTATAAAATTATTGATATAGTTACTTAATTGAAGGAAATATATCGAACTATAAATTCTGAAATAGTTAATGTGTAGCACAATCATATTCAAGTTCTTAATAAAAGAATAATTACTTAGTTTATAGTATAAATATACAGGCTTTTTTATTCTTTTTGAAATTTCTCTTTGGAATTAATACAGTCTTTATTAATACAGTTAATTCTCAACACAAAAATTTTTAAATTAATTTCTTCAGTGATAATTTGGAAATGGGGGAGTGGGTATCAACTTTTCTCTGTAATAATTTATTTAAATTGTAGATAAATTCAACAAACTGCCTTTCAGAAGAGAGGCTTTAAAGCTGACTTTTCTGCTCAATTTCTCTACTCTTCCTTTACAGGTATTAATAAAAGGAGTAATGCAAAAACAGTTATATAATTACTTCATAAACTACACACCTCCTCCAACCAAATCTCACATACTTTAATTCTAAATTCACCAGTGGATCAATCCATTCATGATTATAGTCACACCATAATTTAATCATCTTCAAAAAGTCTCATGCTTCAATCGATGAGATTGCTGGGTGATATTTATAACTAAACAAATAACAGTGGTAGACGCAAGAGAGCTTTTAGAGTACTATTTTATACAGGTACTAATCCCATTCATGATGACTCAACCTTAGCAACTTAATCAACACTGTGTTCCAGTCATTAACTCATTGTCACATACTATCACCTTTGAGGGTTAGAATTTCAAAATTATCTACCTTTAAAAAAAAAGATACACATCAGTATATAGCAGTTTCCCCCAACCCTATTTTGATTCATTGGAATGCATGATAATGATCTGGAGCATCAAATGAACCATAATCCTTTAGCAAATTTTGGATATTTGTTGCCCTATTGTCCTCTACTCCTGGGAGTTATTTCATAATCCATACCAACATCAACTTTGCATAGGCCTCACTACTGCGTAACCTGATCCTGATCTCGATGCCTTACAAAAGGTAATACCAGAAGAAAAGTTAAACATCCTAAAACACAGAAAAAAACCAGTTTAATATGAATATTCTACATTTAGGCAGCTTTGAGCCATTTAACATTACATATTCAGCAGAAAAGCTCCTGAGAAAATTGGTGCAGGAAATTTAAATGTGATGACCCCCACTGCAAAGGTTGAAGCCTAGGAGCCACCAAGGTATGCAGAGTCACAAGCAGGGCCAAAGGGGTATAATCTGTCAACAGATCAGAAAAGCAGTGAGGCTCAAGGAGACTGTACTATGATGGGTGTCAAGCTATGAATAATGTATTATGAGAGAAAGTTGCATATATTATTATTTTACTATTAATTTTACTGTTCCAAGAAGTTCAGTGTATATGTTTTGGGCACATAAAGTATAGATTTGATATTTGTACACTGTTCACCTTTACTAGAGTTTGAGAGAGTACAGCTAAGAATTTGAAGGTTATTTCCAGATGCAGTAAGTTAAATCTCAACAGGACCTAAGTATGAAAATTGTTTTACAGGATTCATGTTCAAGGAACTCGTTGAGAAACTATGGAGGGAGAATGGTAGCAACCAGAACAACCTTGTCAGGCAAACAGGAAATGGGGTCCTTTAAGGGTCAGAGTTCTGAACATGTTATCTTGCTTATGAGTGTGGGGAGATAGTGAAGTGGAAGAAGAGAGAGACAGAAGTATGCAGTAAAAAGATAATAATTGGGGATATTTCCATGGAGATACACATGTGTGTGTTTATAAATATATTTGTAAACAAATAAATGTTTTTATATAAAATATATTTTATATAAATATATAATGCATAAGACATAAACTTTTATAGCATATCATTAATACTGTATATAGAATATAAAAATATATGTAATATATTATATAATATTAACATGTAAATTTTTAATATTTACTTTTTGTACTTGAAATTTAATTTTTAATATTTTAAATTTATATTTTATATTTCAGTGCTATAATATAGTAATATTTATTTTACTATTATGTTATTAGTTAATTTAATTATTTACTAATATTTAACTTATTAATGTTGTACCATTGTGATCTTAGCATTTTAATATTTTAATTTTTAATATTCAATATAGACATTTTAATGAATGTAAATATGTAATATACATAATATATATGCATATATAAATATGAACATGTATGCATATATATATATGCACATACAAGGAGTAAAGAGCAAAATAGAATAGAGATATAGAGGAGGTAGAGATATTTAAATACTTGCCCAAACTACATATTCCATTGTTTCTAAAATATTTTAATATATATGCTAATTTGTTTCACTTATACTACCAGCTTATTTTATTTCATTAAAAGAAAATTTCATGTTACTATCTTTTTCTTTCTTGTAATAATCTCTTTGTTTATGTCTTATACTGAGTAACTACTTTGAAAATAATGATAGTGCATTAATATTATTCTCTTATTTTTTGCTAAGAAATTGTGTTATTTTTCATAAAATAAAAAAGGTAAAACAAAGAAATACAAGATTCTAAACAAAACAATACATACAGAAATGAACCTATTCATAGTCCTCCAAGAAAAATAGTGGACATTTTTAAAGGTTCAAGTATGTTTCCTAAAATTCATATAGTGCAGTCTTTTCTCTCAGTAACTCAGAATGTCACTGTATATTTAAAAAGATAATTCAGTTAAACTGAGATTACTAGAGTAAATACTGTATGACTTGTGTCTTTGTTAGGACATATTAAGAAACAAACATGGGCAGGAGAAGAGATGGGGCACAGCCAGAAGACATTCATCCATAAGCTGTTATGGCTTGTACTTAGGTGTCCCTCCAAAGCCTCATGTGTTCATAAATGGGCTTTTGAAGATGATGGAAGGTATTTGGTCTCAGCAATGAGAAAAATAGCTAAGACACAAGCCAGGGACAAAAGTCTTAATCCTGTTAACACTTTGGTCTCAGACTTCTACTTTTTAGAATTGTGAAAAAATAAATTTGTGTTGTTTGAACCTTCCAGTATGAGGTACAGTGACACCTTCATTTATGAACTTAATTTATTTTATGATTTTGGTGAAGATGTCTGCATGTGTGTTTCCTAGGGATGGCTGTGATCATGTTTGTCACACAGCGTGGAGTTTGTGAATGAAGGAAACTTTTGCTGAACACTTTTGTTGGCATACTGAATTGCTTGCAAACAGAAGCATTTATAAGCCAAGACATTACTGTAAATTTTTGGACAACATTAAAAAAATTAATACAAGAGAAAATAATGAGAATAGGAAAATGATTACCTGCAAATAAAAAACACAGATTTAAATAGATGCCAAACTGTTCCACCAGAATATTGTTAGTATATTATTTTTACTTTTCTGTAAGATCATTCTTGTTAAGTGAACTGAGAAGTAAACTTTGAACAGATTGGACGGCACCAAGAGACCGTAAGAAGACAGTAATATATACACAAGTTCTTGAAAAAAATAAACTTTTGGGGGGTGATTTGCAACACCAAATAAAATATTTCTAAGGGAATCATATGATGACCCAAGACTGTCTCTATGTTCCTAATCCCTTTCATCGGGAATGGGGTGTACTCAATTGTAGAGTGCTTGCCTAACATGTGCAAAGTTCTGCATTTGATCTCAATGCCCCCCACACACATGCACAATGCACACACTTTACTAGAAGACAGGGCTGCAATTGTGCAAATCAGAGAAATAAACCAAGAATAACAATTTCCAGTATCTTCTTAGAATTTAAATTTTGGGGGCTTAAAAAGTTTACTTGGAGTTCAAGAAAGTCAACATAATTGGGAAGAAAGGTAAAATCTTCATTTTGAAGACCAAAAAAAATCACATCTTTTCTTTATTCTTAATAAATTATAATTTCCCATTTTAAATAATTCAGAATAATACAAAAAGTGTATAGTCATTCAATATGTTTTCTAATAAAAACAGTTTTCATTTTCTGCTTCTTCAAACCAGTGTACCAGGCATTTGATTTGGCCCATAGACACTGTTTCCTCATCTATGAGTTTGCAATTCCCAGTTTTCTCATTGTGTTACTGTCTTGCATAGCTCACCCTGCAGGCAAGCCTTCCTGATCATCCTTGAATCTGCTTTTCTCTCAAATTGTCAAATTTTCTATGTAAATTAATTCTATTCCACAAAATACTTGCCATATTTTTCAGCTGGCAGGCACTAATATCCTTCAAAGCCGAAAATGATGATTGTGACAATTATCAAGTCTAACGTGCCAACAAGTCATTAGATCTCATGCTGCCAAGCGCTTTACATCTAAGTGCATCTAAGTGCTACAGACTGTGTTCTAATGCATCCTCTGATGTGGCCTCTGGGGTTATGGTTCTCTCCACGTGAACTTCACATGTATTGGCATGTTTAATCAATTCAAAACCCAAAGAGGAAAGAGTTACTTATATGCATATATGTATATATTTCATTGTGTATTTTCATGCAATCATATATTTTATCATATCCATTTGCCCATTCCTCGCCCTTTCATTTCCATACCTCTGCCCTTTTGCTTTCATATTTTTGAAGAGTTCCCCTTTTATGTTAATGACATATTTTATTTTGCCAGATTCCACATATGTAAAGAAACGTAGTACATACCTTTCTAAGTCTGGTTTATCTCACTTAACATGATGATCTCCAGTTTTCTGCAAATGACATGATTTTGTTTTTCTTTGTGACTGAGTTGTGTTTATATATTACATTTTCTTCATCCATTTATCCATTGATGAGTACCCAGGCAAATTCCATACTTTGGCTATTATGAAATATTGGCAGCTAAACACAGAAATGTAGGTATTTATATTATTTTCAAATTTTAAATCCTTCAAGTGCGACAAGAATAGTATAGCTGAGCCACATAGTAGTTTCATTTTTTATGTTTTTTAAACCTCAATATTGATAGGAAAGTAGTATTCTTAACTTCATTATACAAATAAGGAACTGGGATTCAGAGTAGTTACATCACTTATCCGGGTACAGGCAGGCAAAGAGATTAATGTTTGAGAGACTCAAGTCTGATCTCATTTCCTCACACTAAACCTCTGCTGAACCATCACTCATTTAGTATCCCTAAATTGATTTTCTGAAATTTTTGTTTTATTTTTTCCTAATACTCCATCTGAAGATGCACAGATACTATTTTAGCTGTCACTGTGCATTATTAATAGGTATAAATTTAACTACCTTACCTTGATGAAGTCCTGTTGTACCTGTTGCTTTTTCTGATATTAATTCCTAGATTGCTTGAACTGAATTCTTCTAATTAGGTTTCTAGTTAACCTGGTAAACAAATAAAATGCATAGGAATACATGAGTCTCTTTTTTTTTGTTTAGTAAATGCCCCACAATTGCTGCAGCTGGTCCCCACTGTATGACTACATAGAATAGAGCATACTTCCTCTTATAATTACAGGAACTGTTTATCTAGCTACTGTATTTGTCAAGTTTGATCCTCTTTTTAAAAATGGCTCCTTTTAGATTCAATTCGCTAAGCATGAGTAAGAAAATAAAAACAATTATAAATTGAATTTCCATGCAAATGTGGCCTTTTACTTATTCTGCATGAATGCACATTCATCAGACTACTACGCCTTATTGGTAATAATATACTTGTGAAATAACCAAGAAATAACCATGTTCTAATTGTTTCAGCAGTTTCGAAGGTCAAGATTCTGTTTTACCAAGATGTTTTATAAAGGTCGTGAGAGCTTAATGAAAGGTTGCATTTCCTGTTTATGAAAAAAACTTCAATTTTCATATTCAGGTCTCTAAAGAAACACTCATTTTTTTTTAATCAACTATAGACCAATCTATCTCTACATTTCTCACTCCCAAAGGATTTGAAGTAATTTTGGCACTTAAAAGAATCCAGTAATCTATTATAATAAAAAATTAAGTGGTATGGTAATGTGCAAGAAACATTAGCTAATCTTCCCATTATGCTTAGTTTTGATCTATTTCTTTCTAGATAACTGGCCTGATTGTGTTTCTCAGCTAAAGGAGTGAGATGGAGTCTTTATATCGAGAACTGAGGTCAGAAACTCTGAAACTAACCCACAGTTCTCAAAAATGACCAGAAAGTCATGTCTATCTGCATGATATTTTCAAGAATAGAATCTGTGATTCAGACTTTTTACCATGATTGACAAACCTCGATTTCAGAAACTGTGCCAATAACACCTTATGTGGATAAACTAGATAGTTCATGCCATATATACATTCCAATTAACATTTCAAAAATAAAGTGAAGTAGTATGCAGCCATTTAGTCACCCAAATGTAAGTTTCAGATAGCTTCTCACTGTCCCCACTATCTTGTGATCATTGCATAGTGTTTCACATCCCTAGCCAGAATTGGCTCTAGAGGAAAAACATCTTTCCCTTTTTTAAATATCAGAATTGTTTTAATTTGATTTGTAGTTACTATCAGGTGATCTCATTGTTTCTGAAGTAAATCACCTTAGAAGCAATTTTTAAGTATTTGAAAACCTGTGTAGCAATTGGGGGAAAAGTATGAAAACAAGCAATGTAAGAACTAAGGATTTTTAGCTCAGTGGCGTAAGCACCTGCCTGGCAAGAGCAAGGTTGTAAGTTTGATCCCAGCACTAAAAAAAAAACCCTACAAACAAACCAATGTATTAATAACATATTTTAATTATCTTCAGTTTATTTTGTAGTTGTGGTCATATTTTCAAAACCTGAAAATAATTGATGATGGGAATTCATTAGAAAATGTGGCAAGGTAATTTATATAGTATCATGATTAATTGAGTATAAATCTCTAACTTTCTGTCTATCCATCCCTTTCTTTCCTTTAGAAAATATTTGTAATGGTACATTCAGAAAATCTGATTCTGTTTATTAGGAGAGCTTACAATGGGACAAAAGAAGATATTTGTTTGTTTGTTTTAATAAAAACAAACACACAAAAACCCTTAAAAACATGCAAACCTAAGATTGGGGGAGAATTATGACAGTAGAGGACAAAACAACAGTGAGACAATAAGAATAAATTTAAGAGATTTTAACAAAAAGAAAAAATCAGTTCAGAGGTTCAAGTTTTATTATTGTTGTTATTACTATTTTTCCGGTCTTTGAGATAGAACACAAGACCTTCACACTGAGCTACATCTGCAATCTTTTTAAAAATATATTATTATTTTTTTAAAATTTTGAGACACATCTTGCTAAGTCCCTAAGGTGCCGAGCCTAGGCTCAAACTTGTTATCCTCCCACCTCAGCCTCCCAGAGTGCTGGGATTATAGATGCGCTCCACCATGCTGGCCTTCAAGTTTCTTTCTTGCAGTGAGAGCCAGCAGTTAAAAATTAATATTGAGCTGGGAGTGGAACACATACCTGCACCTTGGAAGCTGAGGCAGAAAGACCACAAGTTTGAACCAAGTCTAGGAAGCTTAGGGAATTAACAAGATCCTAATTCAAAATTTTAAAAATGCATACATACATACACATTTTTAAAATTAATTTTGAATATTAAGGAGAGTAATATCTTTGTATTTTACCCAAAATACATAGATTTACTTAAATCATATTTCCGTTTCTACTATATGCTACATTCACATTTTCCAACAAGTAATATGTAGCTTTAAAGTCACATATATGTATGTGTATACATGTATACTTGTGCATGTGCTTATGCTCTTGCAAGGAGGTCTTCAACATCTCCAATAGACTATTTGTACTTGTGAAAAGCCACAATATTTGAAAGAGACTCCGTTAGTCCAATGTGCGCTTTAAGGTTTCTTACAGTAAATGCCAACTTAGACATGGGAAGAAAATACTTGTCAGTGGATTTCTTGCTTCTCTAATATCGCTCTCATGAGCTGTTCATTATATGCATTGTGTATACAATTGCTAAGGAACCACAGAGATATTAAAATTGATTGTGATTAAACTCAATGTAAGTTTTTCAGTTCTTATTTATAAGCATGTATCCATCTTTAATAGATTTTTATGGCAATCATCAATATGAGTCTTCAATGGTTCATTATATTTCAAATATTTTAAAATCATAATGAGACAGGCAAAAATTATCTAGAAGATTAACCAATTCATACATTTTATGTAGATTATTCACAGGCACAAACAATTCTCTCTGGCTATGCAATATCTATCTATTTATGTAGATAGGTAAACCAGATCAGAGGAGTTTAAAAAAAAAAAAAAACTGTCCTTCATCTCTTCATGAGCAAGAGATCAATGTATTGCTTGAAAGCAGATTTACCTGATTCCAAGAACATGAGTTTTCCAGGAAAGCTTATGGCTTCCTGTTCTGTAAGAAGGCTCCATTTGCCATATAATCTGGAGCTGTTTAAAAGTAAAATTTTAAAAAGTCTTTATCATTCTACTTCTTAATATTTTGGCTACAATATTGCCACTCTTGTCAAATTTTGATTTCTAATGTTAATTTGATAGTTTTCTGAAATGGATTCCTGGCTATGAATTTCTCTTCTACAGCGTTTTAATGATAGCCTATAATCCTGCCCCCACGACTTAAAGACAGCATTTGGTTTAGAAGCTTCTGAAATCCATGATTCAAATAGATCTATTTGATGTTTGCTGTTGATGAATCTTTTGTTTTTGTTACAAAAAATTACTTTAAGCCCATACAGTGCTTTTCTTTATACTTTTCACAAAATTACTGCCGTCACTGTATTCGACTGTGTTTCATCAATTCAGATAAATGGTTTCCTTTTCCTTATATACACATAGATTCATAAAATCCTGACATGAATTATAATCACTGGAAATGAAGTCTGGGATACCAGGAACATACCACTTTGGTTAAACTATGTGGCATACTCATTGGGAAAGCACAGAACTTTGTTTTGTAAGGTGAAGCATTCTTTAGTATGATTCTTAAGTAACTCCTCACAGGATCTTTTATCAAGTATATGTCATCAATTATATAATCTCTCAAATATACAAAAACAAAGCTATACAGGTCAGTAAATTCCATAAAAATTGTTTTGCTTAATCCTCTTTAATTTACAATATACTGCTAGGCTCCCTGATTTAAAACAGGGAGTGAAGAACAGAGAAAGGTGGGAAATACAGTTTCTCTTGTTGGTACTTCTCTATTTAAAGCTGAAATTTTTAATTCAGTATAGTTACTTTGATACTTGTTCTTCCTCTTACAATGATAGTTCTATGATCTTATGATCTTATATCCAGATTATAATAAATATTTGGTATCTAAAATGGACACATTCCTAGCACATACTTGTTCAGTTTTTAAAATTGGAATATACTTCAATAACTCCAATTGCACATGCTTTAGGAAATCTGTGGTAATATTTTTATAGTGACTCTGAGTTTGTTGGCTTTGCAACTTTTAAAGTCAATTTTACATTAATATTTCAGAAACTAAAAACAAATAAAACAAGAAAATAAACATAAAGCTAGAATAGGACATTACTGTAGAAATATTTCTACTGCCATCAAATATTTTAACTTTTATTCATCTTTCTTATAGTTTAAAATCAGGTTTAACTGCTTGCTCATAAATAAAGGGTGGCAGAATGCAGATATTTTACTTATTTTATTTATTCAGGTAGTATTTTGAAGAAGCTTCCCATCAGAATATTGTCTTTCTCATCAGTTTATTGCTTTTTTTTTTCCACCACCACCAGACATCTTGAACAAACTCCTTCCTTTTTTTTTGCTGTTGCTAGAGCTAAAACATAATATTTATAAAGCAGTCTTGTATTACCTGCTGAGTTTTTCTTTTCTGAGAGATTTATATTTTCAGCTCTAGATCCCCTTTACAAACTTGTATTCTGTACCATTAGTGCTGACGTCCATAACATTTGCTGTTATCCTAACACTGTGAGAGCCTTAGAAAAATGCTTTTAGGTAAAGAGTTCTGAAAATAACATATTTTTAATTGATCAGTTACTACCAGAAAGAAACATATTCAGCTATAATTCAATGAATTTGATCAGTCTGTTTAGTTGATTTAGATAATCCATATATACCATAATTAGTTTTATCAAAGAAAACTTCATTTGAACAAATATTATTCATACTGGTTCCTTTTAAAATTTTAATGACAGAACAAAAATCTTACTAATTGAGTTTGTTACATTACCCGTATATCCTATTTTTAAAAATCTACATGCTGGAAAGCACAAGGTCAATTTTGTGTTTTCATAATGCCTGTACTAACTAGTTTATCTTGATTAGTACATTATGTTCATTTCTAAAGGCCTTTATTTTTTTTCTACCTTTATAAATATTTCTTTAATTTTATTTGAAACTATC